CCCTGATTCTCTGAGGACAGGCCCCTGATTCCCTGCGGACAGAGCGCTATTTCCCTGAGGATGGTGCCCTGATTCCCTGAGGACAGGGCCCTGTCTTTGGTCCTCCTAAAACCTTGTCCTACTTGTCAAGGGCAGAGATACAGGGGTCTTACAGATATACCAGCTGTTTCACTGACTGAACGAGTCTGGCTCTTAAGCAGTTTACACTTTCTTGACAAGACTTTCAACATTTTCCATGTGACAGTGTTTCTCAGAAATTCTGTAGAACGAAGTCAGTGAAACGAAAAAACTCAACTTCCAGGAGCCTGTTTTTAAAGCGAACAATAAACCCTCAACTCCACATCAATAAACAGTACAACAAAATCAGATGTAAAAAAAATACATATGAATGGATCACGTTTTATTAAACTAGTAAATATAAATACTGACGAAGGTCATACAGAATGGAGTTATTTAAAAATACAAAGTTGTTCCTTGATGGTTAATTATATTTTTATGATTATAATTTTTATCATAATATCTATCATTTCAATTTTATGTACAGGTTGCCCCGATTTACAACGTATTTGAGTTACGACAAACTGCACTTACGATCCTGTTTTTTTTCCATACAATGCTGCAGTCCGTAATTTGCTGATGTTATCATTCTCAGACATTCACTCAAGATATTTATATGTAACGTTTTAAAGACAAACAAAGATCAGACTTACAAAGATACTGATAATAAAAGGCAATAATAATGAAAACTAAAAAAAAAAAAAAAAACAGAAGTATTCAACTTACGTCAGAACCAACTTATGACAGAGTCATTGGAACAGAATTCCAACTACTTGTATACATTGTGTATATACGCAAATTTATTATAATTAAGGACAGTAAAAGGAAGAGAAAAGAATTATTTTAAGAAACTGTTAGTCTACAATTGTGGTTCACCCAACGAATATTTATTGAACACCTAATATATTCTGGAGCTCTGGTGGCACAGTAGTTAAAAGCTCAGCTGCTAACCAAAAGGTCAGCAGTTCAAATCCACCAGCCACTCCTTGGAAACCCTACAGGGCAGTTCTACTCTGTCCTACAGGGTTGCTATGAGTTGCAATCAAGCTGACGGTAACAGGTTTGGTTTCTTGGTTTGATACTATATTCTAAATGCCAGAACCATCTGATAGAAATATAATGTGAGCCAAGAACGTAATTTAAAAATATTACATACTAGAATACTTTTGAAATGTTTAAGCTTTTTCTACTAGCCACATTTAAAAGAGGAAAAGCAAACAGGTAAAATTAATTTTAATAATATATTTTATTTAACCCAATGAGTTTAAAATATTATCATTTCCACATATGACACTGGCCACATTTCAAGGGCTCAACAGCCACAAACGGTTAGTGGCTAACACAGCACACAGCACAGTCTTAAGCACTGTTCCAGGCACTGGGAACGCAACAGTGAACACCACAAACGATACACAAACTACAACAAGTAAATCAGGTGGTGACATATTCGTGCATAAACACGAAACGCAGAATGACAGGGACTTCACAGCCCCCAGGAAGTCACTCTCCACGGGTCCCATCATCCACAGCTTATTATTTCTTGAAAAGCTAATGTTACCAACACTTTAAACTGCATTGTCTCTCTTTCAAAAGACCAGTAGTTAAAGAGAAAGAATGGTTTGTATTTACAGCAACTTGTTATTACATGAAGCACTTCATGTCAGAAAAAATTAAGTAGGTACCAAAAAAAGAAAGCAGCGTCCCAAAAGATAAAGAAGGAAAAAAGTCAGAGTCACAGACCAACCTGGGGAGTGTTACACACGACCACCGTCACAGTACAGGAGGGCTGGACTAAACTGTGTAAGTTCAGTGACTGTACACTCAGCTTACCTGGATTTCCAGACAATTCCTTATCGCTGACACTGTTATAGCTTAAGAATTTTACTGTAAATCTCTGGGTCAATATTCCTAAAAATACAACAAAATAAAAACATAACGTGTACCTTTCACTAGAAGAAATTATCACCCATAGTGTTAACCGTTTAAAGTTACATTTTGACGTGCAAAACGATGCTCGCTGATTAAATCACAAATACGCATGAAAAATAAGCCTGACTTAAGTTTATGTGTTATAATTATGACACTCTCGAAGAAAGAAAAAAAAAAAGCTTTAAACCAACAGTACTCTCTCTGCCTTCCACAAACTCACCTTTCTGGTGGGCATCAATGTTTGCCCTCATAATTCTAACATTTATTTCACTGATGGTATTATTATTCCATCTGAACACATAATGCTCTTCCAAATTCACGTTTCTGGGAGCTGATCCCTTATTTGAAAGAGTTTCTGTAAATAAAACAAGACTTTAATGAATTAGAGAGTCTTTGGAGCACACGTCTATTAACGCAGGTTTTCTCTGCCTGGCCGACCTCCACACCGCGGCCGTCTGTCTCTGACTCCTGACACAGCACGGTCACTGCTTCCTCAGAGAAGCCTCCCCTGGTCTTCCAAGCAGGGGTTAGCCACCTCCTCTCCAGCATCACGGTGCCCTGAAGGAGGTCTCTCCCTTTTACTTCTGTATCACCAGCACCTGGCTCATAGCCTAACATGGAGCACATCCTTGCTAAAGTGTTTGTTAAATGAAAAATTACATAATGTCAGCTCCATAGGAGCACAGCCTGCTGTCTAGTTCACTACTTATTCTAGGCACGCTTCTAATTCTTGAGAATGAATGAATAAAATCCGAGAATTGCGATACATCATAGAGAAACACAAATAGTATCTTACATTAGAAACAAAAGCCCTGGCAATATCAGCCAAACCCTACATGGCTTACCTGGCCACATCACAATTGCAAAATTCACTTATCAAAAAAAGAAGCGTGCAAGAGGTAAAAATGCTGTGTCCTAAAGAACTCTTTCGCCTAAGTGAAAAGCATGTAAGCAAAGATCTGCAGACCCTGAGAACTAGGAGGGACCCTGGAACTCACACGATCTGGCCCTGTCTATTTGTGGATAAGGAATCCGAAGCCCAGGGCTGCGTGGAAACTGACTCAGGTCACAGAAGTGACGAGAAGGCAAGGCAAGCCAGAGCAAGTGTCATAACCGAGGAACAAAGGAAATGCTAGCAGGCTTTCTTCTCATTGTTGTGAACCTCTTGAAATTCTTAATAAAAATATATTTTACTCCGGGGCTACATATTAATTGCAAGAAATGACATACAGACTTCAGCAGAAATGATGTAAGAGTATAACACTGAAATACCTGTAAGGGTGATGAATTTGTCTAGGTCAGCTGCTTCCTCATAGATTACTTTTGGTGTAACTATGCCTAAAAAGACACAGAAGTTAACTTACACAGGCCCACATGGCCTAACGCGATCACACAGACTTAGAGAAAGCTCACCCGGCAAACATGGTAAGTAGGCCTACCCGAGGTGCCAGCTACAAGACTCTCCCCAAACACCATCAGATGGGATTCCCACTACTCTTAGCATCTAATTACAAGTGGGGAGGAGAATCTTAAAAGTCAGTGATAACAATCGGAAGAATGACTGTCATGTAAGAACTAACATGTAGTACATTGCCGGTGGGAATGTAAAACGGTGCAGCTACTTTGGAAAACAGTTTGGCAGTTCTTCAAAAAGTTAAATTACCATATGAACCAGCAATTTCGGTTTCAAAAGAACTGAAAACAGGTCTTCAAACAAAGGTGGAAACAACACAAACAAATGTCCATCAACTAATGAACGAGTAAACAAAACGTGGTCTATCCACGCAATGGAGTATTACTCAGCCATAAAAAGGAAAGAAGTTCTGATCCATGCTACAACGTGGATGAACCTCAAAAACATCATGGTAAGTGAAAGAAGCCAGACACAAAGGACCATATATCGTATGACTCCATGTCCACAAATTATCCAGAACAGGCAAGTCCCCAGAGACAGAAGGGAGATTAGTGGTTGACAGGCTGAGAGGAAGGGTTAGTGGGAGTGATGACTAACGGGTATGAGATTTCCTTTTGGGGTGATGCGTATCATTTGGAACTAGACAGAGCTGGTGGTTGCAAAACATAGTGAATGTACTAAATGCCACTGAATCGTACATTCTAAAATGGTTAATTTTATGTTACGTGAACTTTACCTCGATTAAAAAGAAAGAACTAACGTGGAATCTGCTGTCTTGTGGAATTGAAATTTTTCCAAAGAAAACGTCTTCCTCAAAAGGCAGTTGAAATATTCTTTCAAGCTGATCCAGTAGAAGTGATTTGTATCCTCATGAGATCATAGTTTATCTTAACGCTCGGGGCTGTGTTATTTTTCTACAATTGTAACGTACCTCCTAATAAACCATTTTTGATCTTCGCATTGAGAATACCATCTTGTTCCTGGTGTACTTCCAAATCCGTAATGCATTTGACATCAAAATTCTGAAGGAATGCGACGGGGGCATTCCGCAGACACTGCCCAGCCAGGGACACCTAGGGATAGGGGAAAACCTGACAGATTTATGACCTCTCTTCCCATCCGGAAAAAGACACCAGTCTCGGAAAAGTGTTCTTTTTGTAGCCTGTTCCTGCTGCTGGTCTAGCGTCAACAATGCCTAGTCCACTCACCAGTCGATCAACCGCAGCTTCCAGTTTGCTCAGCGATAATTTGCTGAACAACCTGGAAGCCACCAGTGGGGGAGTCACAATAAATACGATTTCATAAAAAACAAAACAAAAATCCCTCGCCCTGCTCTACTGACTTCAGAGTGACAGGATTACATTCACCTTCATTTTCTCTCCCTTATCGCAACAAGAATGTTTTAGTACCATCAAAATAAAATCATATGAAGAGTAAGAAAAAACGGTTAAGGCTCCCAAGTTTTCTTCCCACAGACTTTTTTTTTTCACAATTTTGATCCTGAAAAATTAAGATTTCCCATAAAACTCTATAGTCGCAAAATATTTTTCAAAATTTCGGAATGTTATGTGATGATATATTTATAGCTTCCTAGAAACTGGCTGTTAAACTAACAGAAGCGAAGAATGATAGTTACGTACTTAAATGAAAATTTATAGAAAACCTTTCGGTTTTACTTCGTAAGTTCGTTCTCTGATTTAGCAAAGACAGTGATTAATTTAAGAGTGACTTAAAAAAAAAAAAATCCAGAGAGTATAAACAGTTGAGTACGTAAACAGTCCCTAAGAGAAGAACCAGTAACTTCGGGAGAGACTTTAAAATAGCAATATGAGTTACATTAACAATGTTGTTGTTAGCTGCCTTGTAACAATCCCATGTGTGCAGACTAGAACTGCTCCGAAGGGTTTTCAAGGCTGCGACCTTTCAGAAGCAGATCACCAGGCCTGTCTTCTGAGGCAACTTTGGGTGGGTTCAAATCATCAACCTTTTCACTAGCAGTCAAGTGTTTAATCATTTGCGCCACCCAGAGAACTGTAAATTAACAATAAACCCAAACCAACCCACTACCGTCGAGTTGACTCCCACTCCTAGCGACCCTCTAGGACAGAGTAGAACTGCCCTATAGGGTTTCCAAGGCTGTAAATCTTTACAGAAGCAGACGGCCACATCTTTCTCCCGAGGAGCGGCTGGTAGGTTTGAACAGCATACTATGCGGTTAGCAGCTGAGTGCTTAACTACTCTACTGCCAGGGCTCCCTAAATTAACAACAGGATGGGAACAGTAAGAGAAGAAGGCTCAGGCACATTAAAACTTAAGTTATTACCTGTGGAATAGTGAAATACGTTTTATCTACAGTCATAATTGGATCCCCTTGTTTGTAACCGAAGTCTGCAATGTCTTTTAGATCAGTATGCAGACACGTTTCAAAGGCAGAGTCTTGTTTCGGGGAACTGAAATCAGTAAGAAAGACGATCATTAACACTTTCAGGTAGTATCTGCTAAAGCGCAATTCACCTTTTGTATTTTTTTTAGTTTTTTAAATTACAAAAGTAGTATTTTGGTGGTATGAAATTTCAATAATCGAGAACTGTAAAATATAGAAAGCTAAAGTCCCCCATGAGGCCACCACTCCTTGCCTCACCCCAGAAAAATCACAATTAAGAGTACAATCAATTTCTTTTAAATGAAGTACAATTCTTTCAAATACCTAACTCAGAAAAAACTCACTGACCTGGTACATAGGATGCAATACATATTTGTGAAAAAATTATTAAAAAAAAAACTATAATAATTGCCTGCTGTTTGCTTTAAATTAATGTAGAAAAAAGAAAAAAAACCCCATTGCTGTCAAGTCGATTCCGACTCATAGCAACCCTATAGGACAGAATAGAACTGCCTCATAAGGTTTCCAGGCTGTAAACTTTATAGAAGGAGCCCTGGTGGCCCAATGGTTAAGCACTTGGCTGCTAACTAAAGGGTCGGTGGTTTGAACCCACCAGCCACTCCATGGGAGAAAGATGTGGCAGTCTGCTTCCCATAAAGATTACAGCGTTGGAAAGTCAATGGGGTGGTTCCACTCTGTCTCATAGGGTAGCTATGAGTCGGAATCGACTTGACAGAAATGGGTTTGGTTTTTTTTGGGTTTTCAATCTTCTCAGAAGCAGACTGACATATCTTTCTCCTGCAGAGTGGCTGGTGGGTTTGAACCAGCAACATTTTGGTTGGCAGCAGAGCACTTAACCACTGCGCCACCAGGACTCCTAATCTAGCCAAGGAGAGGTTAAACAGATGAAACAAGGTGAGCGGCACTGTGAAGACTGTTGAAGCTAGGTAACACGGCACTGGGCTGAGCATACTCTCCCTCTCACTATATGACTACTATTTTCTCTATGTTTTGATTGTTTGAACATTTTCATATTGCAAAGCATTTTTAATTAAAATAAAATAGAAGGGAAAAATCAGTTCATATCAAAATATTACTCCATTATGCAATGATGTCCAGGATTTAAGTAGCAGAGAATTATTAAGGGAAATCAAACTGAAAACTAAATAAACTTGCAAACTACAACCTAGAATTGAATACTTCAAGCACAGAAGGTTTGGTGAGGTCCTGAGAAAAATGTGGCCCCCGAGACGGACCACCTGGACGTGGGACCTCCCTGGCGCTGGAGAACAACGCTCTGTCATAATCCATTACGTGACACTCACACAGCGCCGTGGTAGAAGTAACCCAGGAAGGGCGAGTTGACGAGGGGAGACTGCACGCACAGTAAGGGGAACCAGTCGGGGACGCGGCGTGTTGTCTGCGCCGAGCAAAGCTGATCAAAAGGAGGATTAACGTCTCCTCCAAACACGCCAGTGAAGCAGGACTGTCTGAAGAGTTCTGTGGAGCCTGACGAGCATTCCTTGAACGACAATGTAAAACAGCAGTGAATAGCTCCAGCTCTCCGGGCACGCGGGATGGGTTTTTACAACGCCCGAGACCTGGGACACAGCAGAGGCAGAAGGACACGAACTCTTTGGGGCCGGCAGGATGCCACCAAGGAAGCGAGAAACAGAGACAATCTCCGTCTAGCCTAAAAGTGCTTTGTGCCCATGAAAAGCAAACCGGTTCTGGATTTCTTTAGTTGGTTCCCAATTGAGATCTGTGCCTTCAAGGGAAACAGCTTTACTGGGGATGTAAGATGTGCTCACCTAAAACAATACGAGGTGAGGAGATTGGACAGAATAAGACCTCGAATGGTAATAAAATAAACTTCCCCTTTTAACTGTCATCACCCTTCAAACCCCTAGCCCAGAAAAGCCTAATGACATTTAGAATGCGGGCACACAGTTCCACCTGCCACAAGAATCCTAGAGGATTTCAAGAAGTTACTTTATTCTTTTCTTCATCCATATTGTTCCTTGTTTTCAAAGGACTGTTACTGTTAACTGCTGCAGAGTCAGTCCCCAGCTCATGACAACCCCATGCACAACAAAACTATAAGCTGCCCAGTCCTGTGCCTTCGCCATAATCAGCTGCAGATCAGACCACTGGGATTCCTAGGGTTTTCGTCAGCTGATTTTCAGAAGTAGATCTCCAGGCCTTTCTTCCTAGTCTGCCTTAGTCTGGAAGCTCCACGGAAACCTATTCAGAATCATAGTAACAAGCAAGCCTCCACTGACAGATGGGTGGTGGCTGCTCATGAGGTGCACTGGCCAGGAATTGAACCCAGGTTCCCGCATGGAAGGTGAGAAGTCTACCACTGAACCACCACTGCCCCCACACAAATGACTAAGGGTGCTAAAAGTTAAACCCATTGTTATGATGGTAGAAAAGTAAGTGATCTATTGCTTGAAACAAGAGCAATTCAAATTTAAAAATACTAGTGTATAAACTGGAGCCCTGGTGGCATAGTGGTTAAGAGCTTGGCTGCTAACCAAAAGGTCAAAAGGTCAAACCCATCAGCTGCTCCTTGGAAACCCTATGGGGAAGTTCTACTCTGTCCTATAGGGTTGCTATGAGTCGGAACTGACTTGATGGCAACGGGTTTGGGTTGGGTTTTCTGGTGTATAAATTGACAGTAATAAACTGCAGTTATCTGAAGACTTTGTTGACCCAGGCTATTCCTTGATGGGAGGGGTGGACACTGCGGTAAATGGCACAACAAACATAAAAAGAATTGGAAACAAGACATGGTAATGTGGTCTGGAAGGAAGAGGAAGAGCACATCATTTTGACATTTTTATTGGTACTGTGAACCAGATTTATGATGTGCTCTATTTTTTAATCAACCATAATTATGTAAGTATCATTATGTAAATGCAGACCCCAAACTTTCCTTGCCTGTTTTATAACACCAACTATGATACAACTGCACTCATCCAAAAATGGGGGTGTCATGGGCACCAGGGGAGTCCCTGGATGGTGCAAATGGTTAAAATGCTCGGCTGCTAACTGAAAATTTGGAGGTTCAAGTTCACCCAGAGGTGCCTTGGAAGAAAGGCCTGGTGATCTATTTCTGAAAAGTCAGCCACTGAAAACCAGGGTTCTACTGATACAAAGGGGGCTGCCATAAGTCAGAATTGACTCGATGGCAATTGGTACTGCTACTGGTACTGGATAAATGTGCCACTTTTGCATCTCTCATTCCTCTTAAATCTAAATAAAGATTAAAAATATGTATTTGACCTTGGATTGGGCAGTAGTATCTTAGATATAACACCAGAAACACAGGGAACAAAGAAAAAGCTGACTAAATTGGACTTCACCAAAATTAAAAACTTTTGTGCCTTGAAGGACACCATCAAGAAAATGAAGACAACTCATGGATGGGAGAAATGTTTCACAAATCATATATTGGATAAGGAATTTGTATCGTTAGTATATAAAGAACTTTTACAACTCAATAATAAAAAGACAAATAACCTGCTTAAAAAATGAACAGAAGTACAGCTAGATGGTGCCCGGCTACCACCGCTGACTGCTCTGACCAGGATCACAACAGAGGGTTCTGGACAGTGCTGGAGAAGGATGTAGAGCATAATTCTAACTCACAAAAAAAAAAAAAAAAAAAAAAGACCAGATTTACTGGCCTAAAAGAGACTGGAGAAACCCCGAGAGTATGGCCCCCAGACACCCTTTTAGCTCAGTGGTGAAGTTACCTCCGAGGTTCACTGTTCAGCCTGGGAGTGGACAGCCCCGTAAAACCAAATGAGACTAACGAGGTACAGGAGTCCAGTGACAAGGGCCAGAAGGCAGAAGGGGACAAGGAAGCTGGTGATAGGGAACACAAGGTTGAATAAGGATATTGCTGATGTGTTGTGAGATTGTTAACCATTGTCATAGGGCAACATTTGTAGTAACTGTTAAATGGGAGGCTATTTTGTTCTGTAAGCCTTCATCTTAAGTGAGAATAACAGCACAATTGGAAGAGCATAGTCAATGTCACTGAACTGTGGATGTAGAAATTTTAGAAATAGTGTATCTTTGGCTATGTGTATTTTCACCAAAAAAAAAAAAAAGGTTGAGAATTTAGAGGGTTAAAATGTTATGGGGTTGTTAACCAATGTCATAAAACAGCATGTGTGCTACTGTTTCATGAGAAACTATTTGTTCTGTAAGCCTTCACCTGAAGTACAATAAAAAAATAAAAATAAAAAAAAAAATGAACAGAAGATTGCACGTGATTGTTCATAGCAGCATTGTTTGCAATAGCCAAAACGTGGAAATAACCCAAGTGTCTATCAGCTGATGAACAGATAAATGTGATATATGTATATCTATGTATGATATACACACACATATATCATACATACATATGTGTGTATCTATGTGTGCATGTATGCAAGTGTATGTGTGTATATGTATATATATACACACATAGGAGCCCTGGTGGCACAGTGGTTAAGAGTTCAGCTGCTAACCAAAAGGTCAGCCGTTCAAATCCACCAGCCGCTCCTTGGAAACCCTACAGGGCAGTTCTACCATGCTTGTAGGGTCGCTATGAGTCAGAATTGACGCGACAGCAACGGGGGTATTTTTCCATACGTATACATGTATGTATCTATATATATAACATATCACAGAATATTATTTGGCCATAAAAAGGAATGGCATTCCAATACATGCTAAGTCACGGATGAACACTGAAAACACGAGGCTCAGTGAAAGAAGCCCGTCTCAAAAGGCCACATCAGCATGATCCCATTTACATGAAATGCCCAGAATAGGCAAATTGGTTGAGCCAGAAAGCAGATTGGTGGTCGCCAGGGGCTGGGAATGGGAGTGACTGTGAATGGGTACAAATGGGGTGATAAACGTTCTAAAATTAGACTGCGGGGATATTTGCACAACTCTGTAACTATACTAAAAATCACTGGAAAAAAAATGTATTTTCCTTCCTCTTTAGATTCTCTTAACTACTTCCAAGTAAGATTAAAATAATCCTGTCACTATAATTTTGGAATCATGACTTTTCCCAAAGAAATACACGTTTCTTTCCTTCCATAAACTAACTGACAATGCTACATAAGCAGATATTCTACTGGAAAAACACGATACGTGATCTCACTTTTGAAAGTCCATTCATTAAAAAGCTGCTGATGGGGAATTTCTGGGGTTCTTCACATGCTATCAGGTGGCATGGCTCCTGTGCCCAACAATCAGAGAGAACGTACCTGGTCACAGCAGCAGCGAACATCACAGGCCCCAGCTGTCAGATCACAAGGACAAGGACCAAGGGGCTGATAGACCTGGTTAGGAATCACAGTCATGTTCTCTGAAAAGCACAAACAACAGAAAAGTTCAGTGATGAAACTCTGACAAAGCACTGCCACGGGTTTGACATCCAAAAGACAGTGGAATCATTTGTTTTCCAGCTGGCCGTACCAAGTATTACACCCTAAAATGAAATGTGCTTATAACACATCAAAAGCCTACGTCTACTACACCCACAAAGAGGAAAATAAAAACCCACAGACAAGAAAATTCCCCGGAAGCCAAAGCTCAACTGAAGATAATCAACTGACTACAAGTTACAAGTTAGGATAGATTTCACGTGCTCAACATATATTTCAATATACTGAACAACTCCTTTCCTAACACAGGTGGATATTAAGCATTTACACCTTCAAATTCATTGCCTCTTTTAGCAAATAAAACTGAAATCCTGGTGACATTTCCAACTGCTGATTTAGAAGCCATCTGACCAAAAGATCATATTTAATTATGCTACCTGCTTGTCCTCAAGTCCCTAATGTACTCTACTCTGTTAGGAGCTGTGCTGTGATACAATGAGACACAGGGCCGCGCCTGACGACACGGCGAGACACA